TTCAGGTGTTTTTGAAAAAGTGTAGCGGCGCTCCTGTAGCGCTGCTTCTTGACAACTCTGTGAATTTTCTTTATGAAAGTTCGGATAATTTAAAAGTCGTATTTGACAATAAATTATTCCAACAAGTGTATAAATAATTTAATCGAAAAATCTATAAAGAGTCTTACATAAATTAAAGCATGGAAAATTCATATTGTGATTAATACTTTATATATTAGTGCTAACTATCAATTCTTTTAAATTCGCCCGGCTCGGGAATGATCCTGAGCAAATTTTTCTATTATTAGTTCCGAAAAGTCAGACATGAAATAAAAATAGAAATTATTTGCTTTATATTTCTTGCAAAAATTTGAACTATTACTATTTTATTTGAAAATTTAAGCCCGACCAGGCCCGATTTAAAAAAAAAAATTAGGGCCCAACCCAGTCGAAATCAAATATTTTAAAAAATACCCACCACCCTTCCTCCAAAAGTATCCAAGGCAGCCAGATGATAAATATACCGGATGATATAGAAGTCTTAACACCTCCAGGGTTACCTCTCTCTCAAATGACGACATTGATTAAATGGAAAGAAAGAAAGAAAGAAAGAAAGAAAGAAAGAAAGAAAGAAAGAAAGAAAGAAAGAAAGAAAGAAAGAAAGAAAGAAAGAAAGAAAGAAAGAAAGAAAGAAAGAAAGAAAGAAAGAAAGAAAGAAAGAAAGAAAGAAAGAAAGAAAGAAAGAAAGAAAGAAAGAAAGAAAGAAAGAAAGAAAGAGAAAGAAAGAATTAATTAAAATTTTTATAGATAAATTATCTTATCTCATTCCATAACAAGATACATAAATCTAGTTGAATTAAATCATTTACAGAGGGCTCCGTGTAAGATAAATTAATTTTATTCATTTATTTTGATGAATAAAATTTTATTGTTATAATATTCTTAAATAAAAAATCTTTGTGAATATAAAAAATTAAAACATATTTGGATATACAATGGTACATAGACATAGTTTTATTAAAACAATAGTAATTTTATAAAATTAAATATTAAAACTAAAAAAAATTTATGAAGTTTATAAAAAAATTTCATAATTTAATTGTATTATTATGTTTAAAATGCTATTTCACGAATATATTTTAAAAATATATTTAAACATTATAAATATGCCAAATGTTTGTATAATGATGTTTGATCCTAAAAATAAATTTTTAAATAAAAATAATGATTATGAAAATCCCAAATACTTACTTTAATCTATATTGTCTTTTAAATCCTCTATAAAATACAACTTAATATGATATAAAAATATTTTCATTATAGGAAAAATTTAAATATTCTTGAGATATTAAATATTTTTAACGAGTCCTATCAAATATTTTACGCACCTGTTTAGTTAGGATAAGAGAAGCTGTTTAAAAAAATTTTCACCTTATTTTGCCTATTAGAATATAGTGAATCTATCTTTTGACGACAAATTTTATCCAGCGAGATTATTTATTTCTGAAATGTTATTTATATTTCAAAATACTTTGCAATGACAGGAATTTTAAATAATCAATGAATTTAGAAGTAGCCACATTTATAATGTTTTCAGATATGATATAAACTCAATTTATTTATATAAAACTATTTAAAAAGCTATAAAAATCAAAATATTAAAATAATATATATTATATATTATATTATAATTTATTAATATAGAATATTTGTGTTTCCAAAAGTCGTAATTATGTTGAAATATTTGAAGTTAAATTTTTTGTGTGATAAAAGGGAATTACCTTAGCCTCGTTTTTAAAATGTTTGATTTTGAGGTCTAAGATTTTTTTAAAATTTAAACATTTTTTACCGAAAAGTATCCGTTGAAGGAAATAATTATTGGAGTAAATATTAAGTTGGTTGGCTTAAAATCGTTGGGTATTTAAAAAAAGGTTAACAAATTGCTATTAATAAACATAACACTTTATGATCCCATAATAACTAATTTATTAATCCCCTCTTTAGAAATCTTGAAACACAAGTTTCATTTTATAAATGTGATAAAGATTTCTTGGCCAGCGCTAGAATGATATCGGTAGGCCGTTCAAGCTCAATATCGAGCAAGTTACAATGGATTGAAAACGATACTCCGGTAAGATTTCCATCGGGATTAATACTCCGCTGGGAGATCAAGATTGGGATATCTGTCGATTTGATACTTAAGTTTGAGGAATACACCAGTGGGATATCTGTCGATATGATTTGATACATCGGTAGGAGATCAAGATACTTTGACCACGATAGCGATACTCCGGTAGGATATACAAATGGAATCAATCAGAAATAGAAATATAAATTAGATAAAAATAGATAGCATGAATAATAAAGTGGAGATATATAGTGAAGGAGCTTACCACCAGAAAAGGTGGAAGGTAAAAAGAAAAGAAAAAGTAAATTAAATAGATAATATTACAATTCTATCATGAATGCCTACTTATATGTAGGGACAGGGGCGGGTCTGGGCTTAAAAATTGTTTTTAAGCTTAATAAAACAGTTAACAAACCAAAAAATTTTGCAATTTTTTTCTTCTCATAACGACAAATTTTAAGAGGTCAGTAATTCTATGAACCTGGGGATTGCGAGCCTTGGAGTTTTTTTAATAGTACTCCTCTAATAGTTTAACCAAATACATGAAACTAAATTATGTATATGCGGCAATAACCTGATTTAATATCGGTTAGAATATACTTTTAACAATACAATGTATGATTTAAACCGTCAAAACTATTTTAAATCGACAAAAATTAATAAACTAAAAAGGTTTTAATTATTCAAATATCTTATTTAAAAGATTAAACCCTAAGACATAATTATAAATTTAAATTTTAAAGATAGTGAAAGTGAGGGAACACTTTTCAGAGGTTAATATATACTTTATGAGCGTTATGTTAAATATTTATTTTTGCTTATTTTGAAATTTGAATTTGGTAGGAAATTATATTAGAAAAAAGAAACAACTAACAAATGTTGAAATTATTAATAAATTCAATGAATATCCGTCCTAGCTAGCCGTAATGGAGAAAACAAATTTAGATATTTCAACATAAAAAGATTTAAATCAAGATTAATGAACAATAGGATTATATTTTCTACATCAAGACAAATCAAATATTCATAAAACTGGATTATACAATTATATTATCTAAGTGCATCCAAAATGATTATGGATCTTTGTCTCACTTAAATGCTCTTTTTGGCCACCTAAATTTTGTTGTTTAATCCAATTTTTTTATTTGTTTAAATTGTCAATAAATTTCACTAATATTTAATAATTATTTTCCAATATGGCTCGATATATCATTTTTATATTTAAAAATAATCACTATTGTGCAACTCAAAGCTCACCCTTCCACGAATATAGCTCATCCTTTCCTTTATTTTTTCGGTAAAATTAATTACTGTTAAAAATTTAAAGTTTTAAAATATTATTTTTAGCATTTTATTCAATATTATTAAGTAGTTATAATTTTATTGATGTTCTTAATTTCGCATGTTCCTCAGTCAAATAAAATTTATGGATACAAACCTAGGTCGAGCTTGAGAAAAATCTTTGAAACTTATTGTGGGATAGAAAGAGCTATAATTTCTTAGGTTCTCCTGTAAAATCCAAGTTTTGATTATTTAAAAAAATATATATTATTTATATATGATGAAAATAACAGAGAATATATAAAAGGTAAAAAAAAACATAATGGGTTTCCCTCTTTAATATTTTTTTGTTTAAAAAAAATAATATAATATGTAATTTTTTTTTTGAATCATATTTACACAAGTTTGAATAGAACTTTATAAATAGCAAGTGCAAAATTTGTTTTAAATATTTAAAAAAAAACATGCCATTCTGGAAGGGCGTTTAATTTTTATTTCAAAAAAATAATTTAAATTCAGAAAATATTTTTCCCATTTTATTAAAAATATTAATTATATATTTTAAATAATGATTTTAAAACTTTATTTACCATTAATTATTATAAATTTTATCCTGAACTTCGGTAAATAATTTTGTATAATATATATTTATACATACACATATATATACCTTATATAGTAAAATAAAGGTTTCATATTTGTTAAAATTATGAAACCCTGTATTTATTATAAATCATGGTTAGTGTTATCAAACAGATCGATTTGAGCCGATCTTTAAAAACGGCTAACTCAATATTTTAGCCAGAAAATTTTATCTAATCCTCGAAATTTTGTCAATAGATGTTCAAACCTTTGTGCCGCCTATGAGCAAAATCTTAAGGCTGCATAATATTTTTCCTAATAAAATGGCTCAAAATGAGACGTTTAACAACACTAATCATGGTTATATCTGAATTAATAAAAATATTTTAGGTATAAAGTAAATCAGCCCTGCAACACCTTTTTTTCAATATATTAATTAAAATACAAATTTAAAATTCTATTTGAGAATGATATAAATAAAAAAATTCATATAAAATTATTCTAAACTATATTACGATTAAAAAAAAATAATTAAGTATCTTCGAAAGTTATCGTGGGGTATATAGGATCCTGGAACCAATATATATTAGATATATCAGATGTGAATGGTAACCTGTATACTCATTTAGTTTATAACCATGTTGGAATATACAGGGACGGAACAATTAGATTCTTTTATGGGGGTAAGTTGCCAATAATATTATATATATTGTGTTTTTAATAATTTCATCTGTATGTGGTGATTAAGCATCTATTTATTACATTATTGAAACTATATTTAAAAAAATCAACTAATATTTCTATCAGGGATATTCATTTACTCGTTAGTCTATCATGCCACAGTTTAAAGGATAGATTATTTTATCAACATTTACAAGTTGTATTTTCAATTTCAATTTATAAAATAGATTATATCTATTTTTTTGTAAAACTAAAAGATGATTTCCCAAAATTGGAGAATTTAACAACCAAGTATCCTCATTTAAAAATTTTAATTAGTGTAGGAGGTAAATATAATGGATTTATGTTCAGGTAAACACATTAAGAATAACAAACAATTTTAATATTTATTTTTCATTCATCAGTCAACTAACAACAGATGCTTTGCAAACATTTGCGTCAAACTGCAAAACTCTAATACAGCAATACGGATTACATGGGATTGATATTGCTTGGCTAAATCCAATTGAGAGCGAAAAAGCTAGATATGAAAATGTATTAAAGGTATGTTCTTAGCTAAAAGCACAATACAAACAAACCTCACAATACAAAGATAAAAGCATTTTTACTCTACTTATTCTACATTTTTCAATATTTTATCAGAAAAAGTTAAGACTAAACTAAATTTTAGTAGCTGAAAAGTCTGGACATGCAAAGAAAAATAATGATATACGAAATAGATAATCGAGTTTTATTTATAATCAGGAATTATGATTGTTTTATCTATATAGATCAACAGCTTACACTTTTTGATGCAATTTTATATTTCTTAAAACTATTTTTGCCATTTCTATTGGTTATTTTATATTATCTTTGTTCACATCATAATTATTTGCAATCATATATTTAATAACATGAGGTAATTTATTTTGGTATTCTTCTTTCCCTCAGCTATTTTTCATTTCTTTTAGAACATCCCCCGCCATATCTATTTATTAATCAACATCAAGCTTAATTTTCTATTATCACGAAAATATTTCTACACTTGCTATTCATTTTAACTTTATTCTGTAACTGATGGGCATTTTTTCTTCAAACTTCTTATGAGTTCGTTCTTCACTTCTTAAGATTACGTTTAGTCGAGATAAAGAGTCAAATAACTAATACTAAAAAACAATTGATTTTTTTTTTAAATGGACACTATTACTTCAAATCTACTATTTATCATATCCCATAGTTCAAATTTACTTATTTAGTAGGAAAAATTACTCGGTCCTTATACACATTCTTAAGAAACATATTTTTATCAAAATTAAAAGGTTTTCTCTCTCTCTATATATATATATAATATTCATATGTGACAGTGGCGATCCAAACCTAAAAAATGTACCCATTCGTACACTGCCATTGGCTGCCTTCGTCTATCGCACTTTTATAGAATAATACTCCATTTCCCATCTAAAAGAAATTTTGAGTCATCTTATGTTAACTACACAATTATAATATGTGAGTTAACCAATAGTCTTCTCTGCCCAAAATTTTTAATCGGCCAGCCCAACCATATTTAACCCATTTATTTGCTAGCCCCTTTATCTAAATATATTGTTTAACTAGGGATTCCAAGTGTTTAAAATATAAGTCCGTTCTGATAACGTTACTTTAAAATATTTTAAATTCATTCGCCTGAGCCTCTAGCTTAGCCTCCAAATGTAACTCGTCTGCTCACGCCCACCTCTAGCATCGGCGAACATGGTTGAACTGAAAAACCGCATATGGTTTATTAATATTCCTAGTTATAACTTTTACTACTTTTTTTCTTAGATAAATTATATGAGAGTTATTATTTCAAGAGAATATATTTTACTAAATTAATATACGTATAGTTTAGATGGTATCATTTTTGATTGCTACCCTAGGATAATCATCATTTATAAAAATATTCTGTAATGATTTATAAATATATCTTTTATTTTTGTGGATTGAATCCAGATAATATTTACGCCATTCGTTTGAAATTTTTCATGTTGTCGTTAAATGTCAACTTCATCATATTGGAACGCAATTTACAACCATCTCCGATTATTGAATCTATTTTACATTACCACTATCTTGTGTTTTGTGCTGGAAATTTATTTTTCGTTTAACTAATCGAGATCAAACTATTTTTGCATTATAAATTTCTATGTTCTAAGTAGCTATTCTTATCGTTTATTAATTTATAATGCGCCTAATATTTGTTAGTAATTAGGATAACACTCTTGCAATACCTTTGCATCGTACGGATGAATACCATTGGCATTTCACACAGTGAACAGTTTATATTTCGTTATATAAAATCATTCTATCTCTTTCTCGAACTAATAAACCTTTTAAAATCGCTTTCGACTCCTCGGCGAGATTGACATTCTTCCTCCTAGTTTAGAGTAGATTTTGGTAAAAGACACTTTTTCAAAAAAAGGATTTTAATTAATTTAATATATTCTTAAATAAATTTAGATTTTGCGACAAACACTAGGACCAAATGCAGTAATCACGGCAAAGGTTCCTACTAGTGTTAAAGATTTTGATGGATTCGATGAAGTAGCGATGAATAAGTATATATATACAAATAATATATAAATTATTTTTTTAAGGAGAATTTTCTCTGTTTCTTGCAAATATAATGTCACATAAATATTTTAAATATAAAGAAATTATTATACATGATTAATATTAAGCTATCTAGATTATGTATTGTTGATGACATACGATTTTCATGATCCCATGTTTAAAATGTTTACTGGATATAGCACACCTCTATTTGGCGGACCTGATACAATTGTAATCTATTATAATATTTTAAAAATTATTTTATAGAATTATAACTAATGTCGTCACACCCGAAAATAAAACTTTTAAAATATGTAATATGAATATTTCAGAAAGGATGCGCTGATGAATGGATAAAAAAGGGTCTTGGAAACGATAAAATTGTAATTGGGTTGGCATTTTATAGTATTACTTGGAAATTGAAAAATTCAAACAATATTGGTGTTGGCGCAGAGTCACTAGGCCCTGGATATGGTCTTGATGGAAGGTTGCCTTGGAATTATGTAAATGGATATTCGATATAATATAATATCTACAAATGTTGATTCATGCGTTTATATTTTATAAACTAGATAAATGTTGCAGCTTGGGACAGATATTGGGATGACATAGCGAAAGTACCTTACGCTGTTAAAGGCATACAGTGGCTGAGTTACGATAATGAGACGAGCCTGGAAGCTAAGGTTATCGGAAATTGGGACAAAATATTATGAAAATTACTACGTATTATTTATAAATGGCGAAGACTATCTAATAAAAATAATAAAAAAAATACCTTATGTCTCCTCCTTCATATTTATACTCAACCGAAAAAAGATTGAATGGATGTGTCAGAACAACTATCAAGGGGTGATGATTAACGAGATAGCTATGGAAAAGACCCAAACTCTTATTCAATTCGTCCGAAATGCAATAAACTACTATTGCGGAGAAGGCACAACTGTTACCAACCCAGCATCGACAACCACGGAGGAATGGTATACGCCGACTACGACCGATAATAACCCTGATTGCAGTACGGATACTGACACGATATGTAATAACGGCCAATTACTAGCAAAATATCCTCCAGATTGCAAGTTAGGAAGTTTATATTCGCTATTTAAAAATTAATATTTGTCTAGTTTTCTTTTTTCAAGTTGAATTATTTATAAAAAAGGATAAGGGAATTATTTCTGAAAAAAATATATTATTAAGATTATTTTTAATAGATTAAAAAATCTTTTTAAACAGCAAATACGTGGATTGTCGAGCGCAAGAACGTCCAATAATGAGTTGCCCATCCGATTTACAATTTGACGAAGTTAACCAATATTGTGACTACGAATATAATGTTCACTGTATTCCTTGTGAAACCTCACATATTAGATAATAAATTTTTATTAATTTAAAAATTTTGTTATTTTTTTTTTCAATATTAGATTTAGAAAATATATATATATATTAATAATTTAGATTTAAAATACATTTAAAATTTTCTTATTCTCTTATAATAATGATCATATTAGATGAAAGATAATAGACTTTAATGATATTATATTTATAACAAAATTTAAATAAATATTATAATGTTTTGGGCAATTTTGTCATTAAATTTATTTCGAACCTTTTTAGAAGGTCGGTTTAATTCAGGGTAGGATTTGGTAAATAATAACGGTAGTTCGGTTTTGGTTTAAATCCCTGATTATTTGAGAATTATTATTGCCCCTTTTCTTTTAAAATTTAAACTAAATTATTTTTTTCCAATTTAAAAACTTAATTTACTATAATTTATTTACACTTGCTTTGGCACGAATACTAAAGAAGGTGTATCTGCCATCAGATGATGACCTGAGGCTAGATGGTTCAACTTCCGCATCTTGACTTTAGATTAACTTAATTTAGCAATTCACATATCTCTCTTATTTTTAGAATAATGTTAATTCTGATCAGGTTGATATAGTTGTGACCAAATTAACAAAAGAAATATTATAAATTAATATATTAAGTTTTTTTTTATAATAATCGTGTCTCAGACGAAAACTTTAAGTTCTTTTTAAACAAATATAACCCCCCAAACCAAGCCATTACATCAGAACTCGAAGAAATAGTAATAATATAATTTTTCGTAATATATTCTCCTATACTACCCAAATCCAAAGATAAGGCCATTTTTATATTTTGTCTCTTTTACAAATCTTTGCACGGAAGATTTTATATGTAGTTATATTTTGATAAGATTAAAAAAAAACTAATTAAACTTCTTATTTTTTTTACAATTACGTTTAAGTTTTAGCAAATGCCTCTAGAATTCTAATTCATCCAATCACATTAAAGAGGAATTAACACTATAGTTTAGCCAACAAGCTCTATATAAGATAGGAATATATTCTTGTCTATAATATTTCATTTACATTTGCCTATTTTAATGTCATTAGAGATAAATGGATGACTGATTTCAAAAAGAAAACTATATAAAAATCTACCCGAGAACCATTTATTATTAGTCTCAGTAAATTAGCTATTATTCGTTATAGTAAAGCGCCTGCATGGTGTTGTAAAACGGCTTAATTGAGACTATTTTTAAAAAAACATCCAAAAAAAGATTTTTTTTTTGAAAAAAAATTATTATCCAAGACTCGAGGCTACATGAATAGATGTCCTAAATTATCTGACATCTAGCAAAATCTTTTGAGTTAGTTATTTTTAAATCGACCAAATAAAAACATTTAACAACACAAGGCATTCATATATTGATTGATTAGTGAATGTAAAGTTCTTCTCTAGGATCACTTGAAATTAGGCACAAACAAATATTAACTTAATAAATATTGATTCTGTGGAAAAAGTTAGAAATCAATAATATTTGAGTATTTTTTTATATTTAGTAGTTTTCTTATTTTCTTCTAACGGATTTTTAACTAATGGAAGGTTGCGAAAGGGTCACTTCTGGTTTAATACCAAGTTAGGAGGAGGTCTGTAAGGGAAAGTGCCAGCTTTATATTGTTATCGAATAATAAGTCTCGAGGGTTTCTAAGGTGGACGGATTTTAGCCAAGCGGAGAGTTCTAGCAATAGCGTTTTAATTATAGATATTGAAATTAAGAATCATATCTTAATTATATTAAATTTTAAAAAATAAAACATATCAAATCCCCTAAAATTTTTTTATATTTTTTAACGTACGTATCAAATGTCCAAGTAAAACTAACTAGAATGACGATTCATTAATTTGAATGCGTATCAATCCAACGCAAAACAGCCGGTGTCTTATATTTAAATATACATTTTTTTTAAATAATCAGAGTTTCATAGTTTCACATATTTATATAAATTCTTATGTGAGAAATGGGCTAAGTTTCAAAATGCGTTTTATTGAATATATTACTCAGTCTAATTAAACATCATTTATAGTTCATTGAGGCCACTTATAATTGAATATCAATGCCCAAAAAATTTATCTTCTTTCCTCAAAAATAAAGTCCAAATATGTTTAATTTCAATATTTGAAATATCAGTTCCGTCTGGGTAGCCGAGCCTCAATAAAATTTTGTTTCGATTATAAAAAACGGCTTGATTTCAATTTTTATATAAATTGCCTTATCATATGATTTTTTTTTTAAATTAGAAATTTTAAACTTGAGAATAATCAATATTTTTTTTTTAGCAAAATAATATTTTATTTATAAAAAATTAAAAATTAGGTTTATACATAAGAAAGAGTAATTTACATTATAGTTTGGGATTTGGAATCTATGAGCTTTCGGAATTAATCCATTTTGATTTTCTTTTACTGACGGCCGTTTTTAAATTGAAAGAATCGCAAGAAAGAATAAAAAAAAGAAATAAAGAATGAATTAGTTAAAATTTTCATAGAAAAATAAATTATCTTTCTGAATTCGTAAATAACACAAGATATCCCAAATCATTGCCCATAACGCTGGGGCTGATTAAATTAAATAATTTACTCAGGGCTCCGTGTAAGATAAATTAATTTTACTCCTTTATTTTGATGGACCAAAATTTATTGTTCTAATATTACCACCTACATAAAAAATCTTAATAAATGTAATGAATTAAAACATATTTGGTTACACAATGGTGTACAAGTTTTATTAAAACAATAGTAATGTTATATAATTAAATATTACAACTTAGAAAAATTTATAAAACATACATAATTTATATGTAATATGTTTAATTCACTAATATCTTTCAAAAATATTTTTAAACATTATAATTATGCTAAATGTTTATATAACGTTGTTTGATCCTAAAAATGAACTTTTAAATTAATTTATGATTATGAAATCCCACGTACTAAAAGAAAGTTTATATCTTTTATATAATCTTTATTTTCTCATTTTTCTAAAACTAACAAAATATAGGGATATAAAAATATTTTAAATTTAACAAAAATTTTAATATTCTCGAGATATTAAATAACAACAACAATAAAATTAAAATTCTTACATTATATTTTTTTAAATAAAATCAGCTGAACCACCAACTAATTAAGACCGATTAGCTTTGACATTTCTCCATTTTAGGTTAGATATATATTTTGGGCTTATAAAGTCTAATCTATGGTCATCTAAGGATCTACGAGCCCTATATAAAATATTTTATGCAGCTGTTTAGTTTATATAGGAGAAGCTGTTTAATAATTATTTGACTTTATCTTGCATATTAGATTATAGTGACTCCCATCTTTTGAAATCGAGGCAAACCAAATGTACGACAAATTTTATACATTCAGATAAATTATTTCAAGTTATATTTTAAAATTAAATAACTAAAGGTAGGCATAAAATATTATAATATAATTAATTAATATAAAATGTTTGTGCAGATAAGAGTCGTAAATATGTTGGAATATTAAAAGTTGGATTTTTTTTGTGAAAAGGGAATTCCCTTAATCTGATTTTGAGTCTAAGGTTTTTTTAAAATATTGTTTTAAGGCGAAATGTCGCCGTTTATGGAGTTAATTATATAAGTAAATATTAAGTTGGTGGGATTAAGATGGTTGGGAATAAATAACAAACAGCAATCAATAATCTTAACACATTATGATTACATAATAAATAACTGATTGATCGCCTCTTTAAAAATTTTGAAGTATGAGGCTCATTTTATAAATAATTTTAATATTAAATATTTTATTTCTCGAGTAAATTTAATAAAATATATTGAATTCTACAATGTATGTTTACTTATAATACGTGTATAGTTAAAAAATAAAGCCATCTTCCCTTTATATTATCTGTCAAAATATCTTTTATACAAATATCAATGAGAAGTTAGATTATGATAGAAAGTTCTAGAGTTCTGATGCTCCACTGTTATAGGTTTTATATAATAAGGGGCACCAGCACTCGGTCCTTGAAACTAAACACTGTCTGCGGCCTCTATGTCAGTACACATGTCTGGTCGATAGCTCCCCTAGTATATTATTCTTAATGGGCAGGGACGGGCCGGGGTTTAAAATTTTTTAGGCCCATAAAAAAGTTGGTAACCCAAAAATATTGCAATTTATTTCTTCTAATAATGATAAATTTTAAGGGGAGGCCACTTATCTTATGAACTGGAAATTCAACACTTGGATTCTTTAATAGTACTCAACTATAATGGTTTAACCAAATACATATAACTAAATTTAAGTATATGAAGCTATAACCTTATTTAATATCGGATATTATATATTTTTAATAACGCAATATATGATTTATACCCTCAAATGTAAAAATTTAACAAAAATTGAAAAATTATAAAGGTTTTAATTATCCAAAAAAGATTAATCCCTGTTCTATATGAAATTATTCTTTATTTTGATATAAATATATTAAATTTTAAAGATAAAGATAATGAGAGTGCAGGACTACTTTTCAGAGATTCATATAAACTTTTTGAGTGTTATGTTATAAATTTATTTTTGCTTATTAAAATTTGAACTTGACTGGAAATTATATTGGAAAAAATAAATAACTAACAAATGATAAAAATAGTAATAAATTTAATGAATATCCTTCCTTACTAGCCGTTTTGGGGAAAACAAAGTTAAGTAATGCAACCAGTGGCGTAGCTAAAAATTTTTCTTAGAGGGGGTCCATCTTTTGCCCGGGCTTCGGCCGGGTTATCTTACATAACCATATCTTCGATAATATATAATAAATATATTTTTTAAATGCATCAATAATATGTTATTATAATTGAGTAGATTATTCTCAATGACTTTATAATAATACTACCCAGAATAATTTCAATAGTAATATAATATCCTTTCACAAACATCAAAACCAAAAAATATAAATATTAATGGTATTTATTTGATATAAAGTCACTTTTAAGTCTTTTGAACGTATAATCTAAAAAAAATTTTAGCTCTGGGAGGGGT